GGTTGGAGGCTTCCGCTATTAGGTTGGAGGCCATCGCTATTAGGTTGAGGCCATCGCCATTAGGTTGGAGGCTTCCGCTATGAGGTTGGAGGCCATCGCTATTAGGTTGGAGGCCATTGCTATTGGGTTGGATTAGGTTGCAGGCTATCGCTAGTAGGTTGGAGGCTATCGCTACTAGGTTAGGTTGGAGGCCATCGCTATCCGGTTGGAGGCCATTGCTATTAGGTTGGAGGCTATCGCTATTAGGCTGGGGCTGGAGGCGATCGCTGTTAGGTTGGAGGCAATCGCTAGTAGGTTGGTTGGAGGCCATCGCAATTAGGTTGGAGGCCATCGCTATTAGGTTGCAGGCCATCGCTATTAGGTTGGAGGCTATCGTTATTAGGTTGGAGGCTATCGCTATTAGGTTGGAGGCCATCGCTATCCGGTTGGAGGCCATCGCTATTAGGTTGGAGGCCATCGCTAGTAGGTTGCAGGCCATCGCTATTAGGTTGGAGGCTATCGTTATTAGGTTGGAGGCTATCGCTATTAGGTTGGAGGCCATTGCTATTAGCTTGGAGGCCAATTATGGTTTCTTATATATATATATATGTTTGCTTTTTGACCTCCGAGGACGCATGGGATCCATGAATTTCCGTTTGCTTATGACCATATTTTCCAGCCGGAAGTGTCCCAAGCCGATATTTATCACACCATTGCGAAGCCTATCGTCGAGGGTGTGATTAATGGCTTCTTGATTGCACAAATGATTAGGTCTTTCCGAAGAGTGCAGCAGGAGTTATTTTTTTGCTTTCAGATTTGCCCTTTTCTTACTCCATGTTTGCACTGTGTCTACATGCTAGACGGTCCAGTCTCATTTCTCGTCAGGCATTCATTTTACAGTATGTGTCAGAATGAACACGGGACAACTTGACCGCCCGGTGAACTACTACTGTATGCTGAACATTCAGGTTGCACAACTGACACTGTTTGAGCAGCATACTCCAAAAACCGCTTTGCAAAAGCCCACAACTCACGTCCAGCCTGTGCCACTTTGGCAGGCAATATGCTTTGTTTGGCTGAAAAAGATGAATGTATGCGGGTAGAAAGAGATACGAAACTCGTCACTGAGAGAATCGAACGCCATTCAAAATCATTCATATGTAAACACATCATAACACATCTACAAAAAGACCGTAATAGACCATCCCGCACTTTGCGCTTTTCATGTATGATTTCCGGACTGGTTTGCAGATGGTCTCTGACTTGGCCAAGGCTTCAATGGTGCCATCATTGCGTATGGGCAAACTGGAAGTGGCAAGACTCACACCATGTAACCTGCTTGCAGTGCTTGCACCGCTCGAAATTCTTTGGTAAAGACAGCTCTTCAAGACCTTCCTGCCATCAATAGCTTCTTGCTCCTAGTAGCGATGCCCTTTGTTACTAGTAGCATCCTTGCTCCTAGTAGTAATGCCAGGAGCTACTAGTAGCTTCTTGCTCCTACTAGCTTCTTCTCTTGTTTCATTTTTTTCAACGCCGTTTTATCAGGTTTGGCCCATACGGTGCGCAGGCCTTCGTGGAAGATAAAGCAACTCGGAGGAACAGCTTGGTGGAACGCGACCCTCGTCGTCTTCCCGCTGTGTCACCGGTGAAATGCGACTGCCGACCCCTCGCTCTGCTTCAAGCGGTCCCTTGTCCACTCGAGGAAATGGACTTTGAAAGTCTGGGCATCATTCCTCGAGCTTTGCAGGCTAAGAATCAATTGTGAAAGAATCAATTCAGGCTAAGCTGTAGAAGCGAGACAAACGCCTCCAGGAGCTCCTTGATCATGCCAAGACTACAGCTCCTGGCCTTGTACAGTTGCGGGCCTCTTACGTTTCTTGGCTACTCAAATTCTCTAAACCAACGACCGAATGCTGCATCTGAGTCATCTGAGGTTGAAACATACAACGAAACTGTGATCGAACCTCGGCAGAAGTTTGGAAGGTTCCAAGTTCCAAATTCGTTGCAGTTCAAAATCCAGGATTTGTTGTCCCCTTTGCGGGGTGGCGCTGTGGTTGGCGAGCAGGGCTTTCAGTCCGCAGCCATGTGCAACTTGGCATCATGAGGCTAGCTCCTTTCCCTCAAAATCTAGAAACCAAATCATTAGCATAAGCTATCCTGCGTCCTAAGTAGTAGCTACTTAAGCTACTAGCTACCTCTCCCTACTAGCTAGCTACCTACCTCTAGCGGCCTACCCCCGGTCTCGTAAAAAGGCACGATTCGGTGCTTTTCGATGTAATTAGGCGAAAGAGGTGATGTCCTCTACTTGCCCACGGTGACGGAAACGCCCGTGAGCTCCGTGCAGGAGGCTCCCACGAAAGAGCGAACCGGGTCACCCGTCGAAACACAACGAGAAGACGACGATCCTTGTGCCAAACGACATGCGAGGCGTTGGAAGTGATGCGGACGGGCAATCAAAACCGACACCAGGCTGCTCGAACTCATGTGAAGCAGGGAGAGCTCTTGAGAGCTTGGAGGAATTTCAACGAAATGCCACTGGCTGGGGGCTAAGCACAGAGGCAAGGCAAAAGCATGCGCTGCTCCAGGCTGAAACCAAGATGAACCGGCACTCCTCTAGAAGCCATGCCGTTTTCATCGTGACGGTCACCAACAGAGCAACTTGGCCGCGGAATTGTCACACATCAAGGCCCTTCTTAGAACCCCTCATGAAGCAACTTTACCCAAAGGAGTGGGGAATGAGACAAAGCAACGGAGCAGCGAATACATACACTTACTGTATTTATAATCCGGGACGCAGAGATAGAAGAAATTCCCGAATATTCAGAATCTCAATATTCTATTTGAAACTGCTTCTGGTGCGCGCGAAAAACACATTCAAATAGAAGAAAAGGGCTTCGCCGGAGCATAAAAGAGGTGTTATATATCATGTTATATAGCTACCTTTGCAAAAACACTAAATAGCCTAATATCTAATATCTTCTATTTGAAATCTGTCCGGTGAGGTACATCTTCTATTTGAAATGTTTGTTTTGGATCTTCTATTTGATTTCATTTTTGGTCCACGCAGATTGTTTTCTTCCTCGCCGGTCCGTTGTTTCTCCACTGCAGATGGCATCTCTGGGAAATATGCAAGCATTGATGAATAGATCTATTAATAGATAGATATATGGATAGATACATATTGACAACAACACAGCAAGAATATCCAGAAACATGACCTATTTGGGAAAGTCCCTTTCACGAGGCCCCAATGGGACTGATCTTAGGGGTAATTATTGGAATGTTTGACCTTCTTAACTTTGAGGGAGAAACCCTGGTGAGAGCAAAGCTCTGAAGATGGACTCATGGGTCAGGAAAAGGCTGCTTTGCACTCAGTTTCAAAAAGAAGATATTACCATATTATTTTGTAACACCAAAATAATCACATATACATTTCTTGTATTTGATGTGCTTGGTTGCTTTGGCTATATCTTCTATTTGACCTTCACTTGTTGTTCTGCTGTCTTGTGGATCTGACCTTCAGAAAAAGCAACAAAACTCGAGGTTTTTTACCGTTTTGTACCGGGATTCTGGACATCTTGGGTTGTGCACTAGGTCCTCTGATTTTTGGGTTTAACTTGCACCGTTTGTCCCGGCTAAATTTTGGACAAGATCATCCAACACTTCAAGACTTCACTGTAAATACCGTTCAAATAGAAGATATTGGAGTTCAGAGTGCCCAAACAGCATCAAAAAAGCATCAACAAAGCACCTCTTGCACAAGGCATTTTCTTCTATTTAAAGCCTTGCTTGGAAACCACCAAAATTGCACCTTCTGTTTGAAATATTCAAAGCATTTCTTCTATCTCTGCGTCGCGGATTATAAGTATTTTTGGGTGTTGCTGCTGTGGAGAACTGGCTTGAAAAAAGAGTTTTGCGAGGTGGACCAAGCCAAACAGCGCTTTGCACAGCTCTACTTGGTAGACCTGGCGGGCAGTGAGCGGGTCATGAAGACGGGAGTGCAAGGGATGCAGCTGGAGGAGGTTGGAGCAGACATGTTTTAACCCATTTCTGGCGCAGTCAACATTTACGGAAGACTTCCCAAGTAAAGACAGGGACATGGGATCTCAAAACGCAGGTTCCAGCTGAAAAACGATAATACACTGTACCCCCAAAACAACATACACAACCTGAAAAACGATAACAAACGTACCAAATCCATGATAAATTTTGACCGTGGCTCATTTCAACTCATTCCACTACACATTCCTTTTTTTTCTTTTTTTTCACTTAAGGTAACCTTTGTTCTGATTCTTAAAACCATCTGGCGTCCCTTTTTCTACTATCCAGCTTTCTTCAAAAACATCATTTAGGTTTGGCGTGTGCAAATTGTTGGTCAGACTTACACCATGTTTCTATATTAGATGCCGACTTGGGTCCTTGCTTCACCCAAAGGTTGTTGCGGTGCCAGGCCAAGAACATCAACAAAAGCTTGTTGGCTCTTGGCCAAGTGATCTGGGCGCTTGCTCACAAGCAGAAGCATATCCCGCTGGAAGCTCAGAAAGGCCACGCTTCCAAAGTGGACTGGTCACTCGATGACTGGAGATTTGAAGCAGCTGAAGCAGCTGGCGGAGGTACAGAGATTCGAAGTTGACGCAACTCCTGCGCAACTGTCTGGGAGGAAATGCTCGAACTGCAGCTGCTTGGCCCCTCTAACAGCTACAGTATAAGTGAAGAAACAGAGCTCTTCTGACATTTGTGGATGTGTCCAGTTCTCTATGCTTTTCTTCAGAAAGATCACAAGGTCATGATCACTGCCTCCATGCACCCAGAGAACGCCGGTGAGTCCTTAAGTGCATTGCGCTTTGGTGCACGAGCATCTTTGGTTCAAAACCTGGCTCGCCAGAATGTCGCCGAGAATGCAACTTGGCGGGATCCAGTCTGAGCTGTCAACTCTGATGTTCTTTGCATTGTTTTGGTGCAAGGCTAGAAGGCACGGACGGTCCATCGTAGTGAAAGAATCTTGGAAAATGGAGTTGGCTGGACCTCTTGCAAGGCACAAGAGCTGAAGAGGCTATTAGACGAAGCACGCCAGGACAATTGCGCAGATGAAGGCTGCAACAAGTATTACTACGTTTAACAAGTGTGTGGACATATTGTAAATACTTCAGCTCTACCCTTTCAACATGTGACCAAGCAGGTCTGAAGGCTCCTCATGACCCGCCTTCAAACATTCAGGCCCCATGCCTCAGGACTTGGCGGAATTGCGCTCCTGCTGCCGGCGGCTCCATGCAGAGCTTACAGCAAGTCGCTGCGCAGAGAGCCACGCGAACTCGCCAGGCAAGAATGGCCAGCCCATTGAACCATTTCATTGGTTCATCATCGGCTTTTTAAAGGGTAATTGCTGCAGCAAAGAAAGCGTGCTTGGAGGATGATTCATTCATCGATGACTCCATTGTGTTCATTTAATTCACACATCACAAAAGCAGCCAGATGTGCAATTCACCATGAAGGACCGCAAACCAGCCACTGAGAATTGCTGTCTGGATTGGCACAGAGAACTGCCCACTGTAACGCAAAGTTCTGACCAAAAGGGACACTGTGCAACCAACATCAAACCAGATCAAAGTGGTTTCAACAAATCTTCTTCAAGCTAGGTTGGAGGCCATCGCTATTAGGTTGGAGGCCATCGCTACTAGGTTGGAGACCATGGCCATTAGGTTGGAGGCCATCGCTATTAGTATCTCAAAAGAAAATTGATATACTTTTTAACATTTTCTCCCTGCTTTTTGCTGAAAAGTCCGAACATTCTCCGCTTCTCCGCACCGTCGCCAGGTTGGCTCGCCGATGGCACGCAGTCTGATTCCAATTCCAAGCGCTTGGTGGTGTGGGGTCTGCTGCCTTCGCTGGTGTGTCCCATCAATCGAGCTATCATGAGGTCTGATGCCTATTCCTCTTCGTTTTGCCTTTTCCATCAACATGTTTCAATTCCGCTTTAGTCCTTCAAAACATGGCAGTTAAAGAAGTTCTTTGTTTTTCCTGCTTTTGCAGCTCCAAGGGATCCGGTCCTAGCTGCAGATGGCTGGACCTATGAGCGCCGAGCGTTAGAGAAGCACATGACACGCGGACATGGCTTGCCCAAGTCCCCAGCAGCTCGTTATCAATGCTCAGCCTACTTGTACGAATGTTGGGAAGGGCAGAAAGAAGACTCAGTTCCAAGTCACATGATACTTGTTGGCACTCCCAGAGGGTGGCTGCCAGTCACTGCCCACAACTGTGAGTACCTGGATGTTGTGCTGTGAGCAGAGATTCAGATTGGAGCTGTTTGTGCAGTTGCCATTTGCAAGTGGCGCAGTTAATCCTGGAAACAAACGGGCGGGGTACGGTAAGGACATGATACAGGTGGCATAACAGTTTTCTTGGGTCCTGATTTTCTTCCACCCAAAAAGGTCACTGGCGAGCGCTTCAGCAGTCGGCAGGTGACGCTGAAGCCTGAGGGGGTGGCCATGGACGTGCTTCAAGTCAGCCATGCCATGCCATGCGACAGAAATATGATGAAATATGTGATTAAGGAATTGAGAAGAATGCATTGGGAAGGACCAATCTAGCGAATACAAGTCACAGGTATTCAAATATCATCAAATTATATCCCTCTAGGACAAGGATTAGGGTACAGAATGAGCCATTTCGATGTGGACACGGGAGGCGTGGGTTGCTCTGAGGTCCAACCTCGTGGTACGACAGCTGGTACGCCGAAGCTCTCAGGAATTTCAATCAGTCTGCATTTTTTCGTAGGTCGATCAATTTTTTGACTTCACCATTGAAGCATAAATTTGATTTTGTAATTCTGATAATGCATTAGTTTTGGACTTCACCAAGGGGGGAATTGACTATACACAAAATTTTCCATGTATTTCTCTCTTGCTTTAGTCCAATCCAATATTTTTGGAATCAGATCCTGCACTTTCCATTTCCTCAGAGAAGGCTCGAGCCCCAACTGCCCGAGGCCAATATCTTCCCGATTTGGGACCCCTAGAGGACCCCTTGCCGCTCATCCAGCTCTTGCACGTTTGGCATGTGAAGACCTGAGAAAGGAATGCCACAAAAGGAGAACGGAGAGAGTCATCTTCGTGTTTCTAGGTTGGAGGCCCTCGCTAGCAGGTTGGGGGATGTTGGAGGCCAT